GTAATCTGTTTCGACTAACTTTTAAAAAAGTTGCTCGTTATTGCAGTTGTTGATTCTGTTGGGGAAAGTATTGTTGCAGTAGAATCTAATAAACTTCTGGATTAAAAATTATTCAATTCTTACCTTTACTTCATTGAAATCATGAACGGATCAATGTTAGATCACCCTTGAAAACCTGGAAACACTAAACAGCCGTTCACATTAATTTTTGTTATCAGTACATTTTTTACTGGAACTTATTTTCCTACTAACACACTGTCTGATATTCAATGAAATTTTATATATTATTTGAAGTTCATTTCCTTTTCTTTAAAGATATTTTATTCAGTATTAATTCTTTAAATAGAAAAGTTATTTTACATATGTTGATCCGACAACTTAACCTATTGATGTAGAGAAGCAGTGAGAAATTTGAAGTCTTTCTAAAACATGTTACTAACATTCGGAACGCTTAAATTATTCAGAATAAAAATTTTCTTTACGCTATTCAGTATCTAGTCTCAATTAAATAAATATATAAATTAGTTAGTGGTGGGAATAATGACTAGAATAAGTTTCGTCCATTTTATATGTTCAACATTTAAAAAATAATCCCACAAACTATATAAAAGGAAGAAGTCCATTAGTATTAATTCCATATGATTCTTACTTTCGTGTTCCAGAGTAAACGGTCTGACACTACTCATCTATCGTAATAATAATAGCATTAAATATTGAACAACTAATCTGAAACATGAATACACACAGACATCTGTAATTGAGTGGCTTAACAACACGAAATTTAATAATTAGTTTTTATGTTTGAAACTGATCCAACCAACTTCGAGTTAAACACTTCACACATTGCAACTTCAAGCCTGGTACACGAATAAATTGTTCATTATCGAACATAATTAAGCTTTACGATTAGTTATAGATGAGAATCGCTTCGAATTTATAAACAATGGCGAAAAATCTTAAATAACGTGTCTTATTTTTTCAAATCAACTCCATCCAATAATTTTTCATTCACCAAGTACAAGCTTAATTGAGTTAGGTTTTGAGTCACACTTTATATGAAAGCCAGTAAAATAAACCAGTTCTCCAAGTGGGTGGAAGAAATTTCGAACATGGGATTTATTTATTTATTTGAACACATAAATATCGATACAAGGGCGCACCAGATATATATGCGCCACACAATAACAATGAGAACGGGAAGAGATAAATGATTTAAGGTGCGTATAAAAAGAAAAAAACAAAAATAACGACCACAAACTAGTGTATGGTAGTGAAATAACAATAATAGGAGAAACAGAAAGGTACAACCAAAAGGAATTCTTTTAGTTGAAGAAGTTACAGCTAATTTTTATGAAGAAAGTAAAAGGTTACAACCATGTCTGCTAACGTCTCCAGCCACTGTGTTGCACATTCTCCAGGACCCCAACCAGGGAGTCGTGAAGGACCAACACAAGCCAGCCCTTTGCAGCTTTCTTTCATACCACGACGCCATATCATACATTGACCACCTCTCCACTTTTTCCAACCAGTCCCAGAGTCAGCAATAATGCACGACGAGAAATTCTCTGGGACAACATTCGTAGAACACGTCCAAGCCGCCGAAGTCGGTATTCCAAGATAGTGACAGCGATTGAATTATCGTCCCGAAAACACGATGCTGAACCTCTGCATTACTAACATGGTGTTGCCACTGGATGTCAGCAATCCTTCGGAGACAGAGATGATCGAACACAGAGAGTCGCCTAACATCCTCAACTCTGAAAGACCAGGTTTCACAAGCATAGAGCAAACCTGCTCTCACCGACGCGTTGTAGATTCGACCTATAACAGTCAGACTGAAATCACGAAGGTGCCAAAAATGGCCCAGATTGGCATAAGCCGCTCTGGCTTTCACTATACGTGCATTGATCTCGTCACTCACGCCACCACCAGCACTTATGCAGCTACCTAGATACACGAACTTCTGGACGACTTTTATCTACTCACCATCCAGAGTGAGTACAGGATTAGAATCCTGCCAGTCTTGTAGAATTACTTTGCACTTCGAAGGTGCAAAGCACATACCATACCTACGGACACTAACTGCCAACTGATTAAGTACGGATTGCATGGCTTGGGTCGATCTTTCTCGGAGTTTGAACAACCTTCAAATTATCACAGAAACCAATAGTTTGGACGCAGTCGGGAGACTTATCCGCCGATAGTTGTTACGGAAAAGACGTGAATCCTTTTTAAATATAGGGACAAATATCGATTCACTCCATGATGTTGGAACACTCTCTAGCTCCCAAATTTTTGTAGACTACGTAGTCAGTCCTCCAACCGGAAAGCCACCACCACCTTTAAACAGAGCCGGAGGTAAGTCGTCTGAGCACATGATTTGTAGCGCTTCAAGAGTTGGAGTTCCTTGCGGACTTCCGCCTCATTCGGCGGATCAATCGTCACCGGCCATGGAGGACAGGATAGTCTGATCAATGTTGCCGGAGCAGTAGGTCAGTTGAACTGCCTTCGAAGAACTCTGCCCATCGTCCAAAACGTCGATGGATGTTAGTGATTGGCGTTCCGTCATCCTCATAGACTGTTTCGCTCACACCAGACTTCTTGCTGCCAGTGGCTCGGATGAGTTGAAAGTGCTCCCGGTAGTTACAGATGCAGCTGCTGTTGGCACGCTCCGATCACCAGGTTTCTGCGTCCATACGCAAGCTTTGTCAAATTGCATTGCGTAACAGCCTTCGTTTGTGGCCAAACTCACGGTCACCCGGAGTAGACTGACGGCATTCAGTGTTTAGTAAGGAGCCAGAAGAAACCCAGTGCTAATAAGAAGGACGTTTCGCGAACCCACAAGTGACTTTACTCGCCATTTTCATACCGTCATGCGATTGCAACTAATGCTCATCTATACTTTTCGGTGGAATGATAGCTAGCCTAGAAGCTAGCTCGGTTCGGTACTTACTAGCAACAGAAGTTGGAACCAACTTGCTGACATCAATCCTTTGGTAGCGGTCACTTCGTTGTACACTGAAAAGTAAGGTAAGATTGGCGCAGACCAGAGCATGATCAGATTCCAGATAGGTACTCCAAAAGGAGCGGCAGTCTTGTACACAACCACGCCAGCGGCAGCTGATCGCGATGTGATCAATCTGAGTCCAGGCTTGAGATGCAGAAGGGGGACGCCAGGTGGCACATCGGCGAGGACTGTGCCGAAAGTTAGTGCTAGCCAGAAACAGGTTGTGGTCTGTGCATAGTTGCAGTAGACGTTCCCCGTTATCTGTACTGCGACCAACGAGTCCCCATCGGCCACCTAAACGACTCTCTTCTGTGCCTAGACGCCCGACCTGAGCATTCAAGTCTCCGGCTAGTACTGCAATATCTGTCGAACGCACTTTCTGGAGAACAGTTAACTGGTGGTAGAATTCATCCTTGATCGCGTCCGGGCTGCAATCTGTCGCAGCGTAAGCGGAGATGACGAAAAGATATCGTTTCTCACACTGATTTCTTCTTACTTTAATGGAAATTTCTAATCTAACAGCACGTATCCAATCGATTAGTGCTGCCTCAGCTCCAGCGCTTAGTGAGACATCAACGCCAGCAAAACCAAACGAAGATGCCACAGGGTTCCCGAATAAATACACATATAACAAGCCTTTTGAAGCGACAGATGGAGAGCGAATTAGCAGTACTTCATTGGTCTTGAATATGGGTCTCAGATGGACAGCAGACGTCGATATTAAGACTTTCTAAAGACATGGCTAGTCCCATCTGCATTAGTGTGCGAACGTTGAAGGCAGCCAGTTTGAATGGTTTACGTAGTTTCAGAAAGACTGTTTCAGTATTCGTATTCGGTGGAAGCATTCAACTCTCGACCAGGCAGTGACTCAAGATAGTTTAAATAGGACAGAGTTTCCACTATGGGCGAGCTGCTCTATAAGTTAAAAATGGGTATATATGAAGTGAGAATAGAGGTAGATAAGTGACGTAGTATATAAAATAATAATAATTGTTATCAGATGGATGTGAAATGTCTGAATTCTAATTGAAGCGAGCATGATATTTCGTGAAGTACTTGTCATCTATTTAGATTTGTGTGAGGGCTGTGATACTAACCCAGTGCCCAGACCGAAGCAGGTGGTTCTCTTAGGGGGCCATACCCGGAGCCTTTGACCTAAGGGTCTGATCCACAAGGCAGTGGACCATCGTAACGAGATGCAGTCCCATGGTAGCAAGTGACCAACAATTCGTCTTTCAGGATACTGGAGCCCATGTGCACCATTGGTTTAAAATCAGGGTTTCCCAACTGCCCTATGTGGACTCTCCGTGTCTACCAACCCGGTTAAAGCGCCAGATATTCGCTTTTCGTCCTCTCAATTTTGTAAACAACACCCCAGCTACGAGAAGGCAGTGAGTAGGACCTTCCTGGCAGAGGCTATATACGCGTGTCCATATGAGAGCATTTCAAGAGAGAGAGAGACCGAACTCTCCCCATTCTCTGTGGTACCAGGGCATTCGGGCACTCGAATTAGCGACATATCGGTTAAAACCCAATGCTTTACCTACTAAGCTATCTTCAAAATAATCCACTTTTTTACAACTATGAGAGTGAAATGATAGCAAAAGATTACCTCATTTAAATAATTTTTTTCTAATATGGACATAGATACAATGAATGCAATAATTTGTTTTAGTTTCTTACAAAAAAAGACAATATTAAAGTCAGCTGAAAAGGAAGCAAATTAAGAAAACGTACAATTACTCTTTTTGTTTTAACTGTTCTAATGAGCAATATAAAAACAATTCAATCTGAGTAGTTAGTAGTATTGTTAAAGAATTCAATCTCAACACATCGCCGCTGAATGTAAATCCAAACATGCCATTTGATTAACAAAAGAGATTATTAAAACTAATATTTGTTTATATGCACAAAAACAAGCACAAACAAGCATACATTTAATCAACATGTTTACATTTTAAAGCCATAGGTTGGTGGTAAATGGTCACTGGTATTACTTAGAGATAATAATGAAGGATACAGTTGTGATGTACTGGCTGACACATCTGAATTCATCATCACATTAGGTACATATGATGACTGAGGATTGTTGGAAAAGCTTGATGCCCTTATATGACCAGACGACAATTGCTCCGCTAACTTTTCACATTTAAATCTACGTTCATTACACAGTTTACGAAGAGGAATGAAATCCTTCAAAAATGCATCAACATCCATGGCTTTGTCAAGAAATCGACTAGCCAGTTCCTAAAAATAAAGAAATGAGGGAAATGAAAATATACTTCAGACTGTTCTTCTGCTTGTGCGTTGGCAGTTTGTAATAAAGCAAGAATTACACTCGGAGAGTATTTTGTACCGATATTGTCTTTATTTTAGATGTTCAGGTATTGTGTAAGACTTACCAACTTCTGATTTACGTTTCATATATTCATTTTCCAATTGTTTATAATTAGAATAGGTTTCTACAAGCTCCGTTTTGATCATATTGAAAGTTGGCTCCATAGATAGATTTGCTTCAGCTTGACGTCGATTTTCATTCATGCAGGCTTCTTTGTCAGACTCGATCTTCTTAATCTGTGTTTTTCAGAAAAAAAAGTAAACGTTTGATAGGGAACATCTTGTAACACTTACATCAGGACAATTTTTAGCTAGCTTCTTTATGCCTTCATGATCAGATAATAAGGCTTCAAGTTCCGTTTTGGATAATTTTTCCAAGGAGGATAGAATTTCATCCTTACTATCCACTCCGTCATAACTTGTTGCATTCATTATAGTTCACAATCTAAAAAACAAGTGCATTATGGGATTTTTCCAGTGATTCTTTTTTAAACAAATACATTAAAGCAAAACTACGCTGATACAGAGAGAGAGTAGTCTGGGAGTCAAACTTTAGTTTGATTGGCTCCTGGGTGACCTACAGTGTTTGATCGCTTATGTTTCAAATGACATTTAGCTATGTCGACTTACCAGCTTGGTACTTCATGTATATCTTATTTGACTGGAAAAAACTCGTTCTGTTGGATAGCTGTGTTCGCTTTTAATATCAATATTACTTCAATAATCCAGTCTTAAGGATAGTTATAAGTCGAGCACATTGTGTCACTGAGTATTCACCGATTAGTAGTTTGTTCATTATTTTAACAACTCAGAAATTGCATCACCATAACATCCTAAACCCCTCTCAATAACACTCATTGTAAAAATACAAATTCATCTCTTCAAAATTTCATACAGGACTGCAATCAGCTATCACATCTTGGTTAATATCTCTCATATATCTAATGTTGAGCGTTGACTAAAATGTTACGATATAATTCATTGATCTATCCATTTTGAAGTAACTTATAAGTGAAGTACATTAGATTTCGTTCCTTAAAATAACAAAGAGAACACCACTGAACAATATTTGTCAAAAATAACCAAAAGAATAGTTAATCATTTTTGAATTCCGAGTTTACAAAAACTAACTCAGCAGTGATTGACGTATTCTCAAAACAATGGAAAAATTATTGACACTTTCACTTCAGCCTGTGATAAAAGAGCACATTGACCAGTATCAGTTTGCTTACAAATGCAAAAGAAGCACCTTAGATGCTGTTGCTGTTCTGCATCATAATATAGTGTTCAACCTAGAAAAGGGTAAGAAGTATGTTCGATGCGCTTCCCTGAACTATACTTCTGCTTTTGATTCTATATCAAGACAATGTTTACTTAACAAGTTAGTCAGCGTCAACACTGACAGCTGGATAACCAACTGGCTATGTTCCTACCTTTCTGGAAGGGAACAGTACACAGTGTTTGGAGGAAAGTATCCAGAGTCTCTGGCGTCTTATGAAGGTGTACCACAAGGAGCTGTTCTTTCACCTCTTCTTTTCTGCATGATCTGCCATCTTCCACAGTAAACACTTTCCTGAAATATGCGGATGATCTCACTGTATGTATGCCTATCTCTTCCTCTTTACATCCGACAGAAATGAATGAGTTTTTGTCTCGTATTGATTGTTGGTCTGTTGTTAATGATCTCATACTTAATCCGTCTAAATGTCAAGCTGTTAACTGTAGCATGAGACATGATCGGCATTTAAACACCATTTTGAGATCTCATAATGCATGTGCCATTGGCGACTCATTGATAAACAGTGTCAACGGTCAATTATCTTGGTGTTACCTTTTTCTCTGATCTCTCTTGGTCTTCTCACGTTTTATTGTTATTGAAGAAGGTTTTCCGTCTGACTTACTACATAAAGACATTACATGCTCTTGGGATCACTTGTCATTTACTCTTACAATTTGTCAATTCTTGCATATTACCTATTATTCTTTACTGTTCTCCATTATTCTTTCCCGGGCTTTTGAGATAAGATTGCTGTACTGCGGAGAGTGCTGAAGGCAGTTAGCAAGGTGTGTGGTAAATCTTTCGAGATCATAATTAGTATGGATGTGGATAGACATCTAAAGTCATGCAAACTCCTGGCAGGTGTTATTTTATCAGATACTAACCATCCCCTTCACTCATATCTTTCTCCTTGTATATCTTCTGGTAGAACGAGACGAAATTACATTAAAATCCAAGCACACAAGCAAAAGTATAAAAGTTATATAATACCTTACCTAGCAAATATACTCTGTGACGAACAGGTTATTAGAGTTAACCTAGTCAATAATCTGCATTCTTAACATGACTCTAATCGAAAAGTTGTACAGTTTTTCAGATTTTTTTATTAACCGTCATCTTTTTCTGTAAAAGAAACTTGTTGAAATATTTTTGTGCTGAGAATTCTATATTGTACCAAAATATAATATCGAATAAAGCCATAAATAAAATAAAAAATTAATTAATTAATTAACTAGCGCCATGATCTTTGTTATCTAATAGTCACATTGCCCAATATAATGACTAAATTAAATAATTCAGATCTATTGTACATAATTTTGGGAAGTTAAAACAGATCAGTCAGGCCTGAATCTAAATAGCATGTATGGATAAAGAAACGTAATATAAGCAAAAAGATAAAACAGGAGATTACACGACGTTTGTACGTAAGATAAATAATTTGGTTGATAAAAGGCAACTATGTTAATAAGAATGTTTTAAAATTGGGGTACAGATTACTCAGAGACAGCTTCGGGTTAGTACTTAACAAGCGTAGCTTAGTGTAAAAACTATATACAACTTTTTCAGATCGAGGAATCGAATAATGAAGGATTTATTCGGTTTAGGCTGTCATTGATTATAACTATATAATCAAAGGTGAATAGTAAACCCAATCGTCGAATGCTCTTAATTTACAGTTTGAATATTGTCGTCGGGTGTTTTTCAAAATTCCACTACCTAAAAATTAAATCCGTTTTAAAACAATCACTAAAAATTTACACGAGCATTTATCAATATATATATATATATATATATATATATATATATATATATCTTTGATGATTTTGATTATTACCCTGAAGAAGTCAAGACAAGTTTGTTGGAAGAAACGTTGGAATTATTTAAATTTCAATCACTCAGATCACTTCAAATATAATTTTCACATATAATGAATCAGTAAAAATCCTCAAGAAACGCATAAATTCTACAAATAAGTAGCTGAGATAATAACGAATATATCATCTTTTATTGTTCGTTGATAGCACAAATATTTTTATCTAGATGGATATTTAGCTTCATACTGACCAATTAGATGGTGTAATTTAAAACAACAATCCTAAATAAATGCAGTCTAGGAAGAATACTGACAATTTGATGAGCAAACATAGTTTACGACTGATTTAAGAATTAATTTGATTCCGCCCAAATTTTAACCACAAGCTTTTTCTACAGTAATCACGACTGAATCAATTTAAAAGGATATAAACATTCAAGGAGTCCAAGTTCTATCAACAAAAAACGTTTCGATTCAGTGAGCTGAATTATACTGAATACCTAGACTAGGTGATTAACGATTGTTAGTCCTATACGTTTATACTACATTCCATTAAGAGGTTTCATAAACTAACCACATGGATATGATCAATGTTTCCGGGAAAATTGTCTAATTTTGATAAAGATTAGCGTACTGTAATGTGCATTATATTACTATTCGATTAGGTCGATGTGCGACGTTACGACTACGCACTTTATTAGTCCTCAGTTTTCGAAAAACAACAGGTAACGTTGTAAACATGTGATGTAAATCAGGACAATAGAATGAGAAAGTAATCAGACAACGGAGTTATTGATGAGAAACAGGCCTGATGCAGTAACAGATGACTTATTCTGTACGACTGAACAAATATGAGACTACTACTAAGATGATGACTGAAGGTCATGCCCAATACTAAATTTAGTTTAGCCAAGCTTTAACTTTCTTTCATATTTAATATTCAGCCAAATGCAAGATGAATGCTGATCATATATTTGTATGTGGTCGGTCGCGTTTTTATTTCACGTCCTAGTGTGAAGACAAATTTACATCTCTAACTAGATGGAGATATATTGCAATAAAATATTCTTGAGCTCACAAGGGAGATGAAAATAAAGCATCGATCTGATTATTGGTATGGAACCTATTCAAAAAACGATTCTTCTGCGACGCCTCCCAGATTTAAGGAATCCGTGCCTAAAAGCACTTTTAGATATTCCAAAGTCGGTCATACACAACCTGTTATGTTGATATTTAAAAACTTATTATTATGAACACTTTTATGGATATTCTTGTCCGTTCTATAACCTAATCGAGTTCGAGAATCTCCAAGATAATTGGACTTTGCGCTCGTGAGACGTTCTATATTACGTTTTTAAATGTACATAGAGAAAGTATAAAAAATTTGAGAAATTCAAAATGCTAATTTGAATTGAACTCTTTTAGTCTAAAAGTTTCATTTTTCATTTGCTTCTAAATAAGCCTGATGAATATATGTGTATTCCCTTCTTTATTCAGAAACATTGATCATAATAAAAATCACTAACAACGTGAATTGATATGTGTCAAGTTCATAAAATTGCACTATCTACAACGCTTGACTTAGAAGTATAGTACAGTGAACAAAAAAGACAACACCCAAACTCAGGCTAAAAATGACTTTGTTAAAGTTTAAATAGTACATTAACATTGCCATCTTTAAAATTCATTCGTCTATACAGCTAAATTGCATATTACGATAAAAAGCCGAAGTTAATTCAGAAAAATCATAACTCGGATTCTTAACCATAACCTCCAGCTCAAACTAATGGTTCGAATCCATTACTTCAGTGATCAACTCGATTGGTTGGTTGTAACTACAGTTGGAGTGAATCCCCTGATGGGGTGTGTGTATGTACTCAACTCAATCATATGGTCAATTTAAAGATATTGATCAACCAATTAATCAATAACTTTGAACGAGAGGACGTTTATATCCTCCCGTGTTGCTAATGTTAAACCAACACAAACCTAAACCTTATTTTGACAGCAGCAAGTGATTGGGGACTCGACTTTAGTATTCACAAAACAAACAATGGGAACAATGAATTAAAACTCATTTATAGAGTAAATCAACCAATTTTATTAACTTATAAATATACAACACTATCATATTTTTCTAAGGGACTAATTTTGTGCAATTGGTTCCTACCTTTCCTACTGATTGGGAATAACCATCTGACTTACGCAACGCAAACAGATGAAATTCCTGCCGATACTATTGTCATTTTGTCCAATATCTTTGGAAATGCCTCGTGTAAACTAACTTATTTATTTACACTGTCATCTTCGCACTTTGGCACAGTTTCTAATCTCTGGTATTGCTCATGTCAACCGAAGCACCAATTTCGTGAACTACGAAATTACTCACAACCACTTGAACCATTTGAGTATATTTCTAGCACTAAAAACGGTTAGGTTGTCAACACACCTGGCTGTCTAAAAGTAAATTATGTGCTCTAGTAGTGTCTTTCGAATGTTTGGTACAAGATTCTGGCTTTTATGATAACAACAGACGTAGCTCATGTGTTTTTATGAAGGTAATGTGTTGGTCATAGAGGGTGTAATCATCCCGTTGTGCTCAGGGAGTGGTGAAACGTATGATACTTTATCTTCAGATCGATTCTCGAATCGCTCATATACTTTTCTTTCTTCAATAATGCTACAACTCTTTGGAATTACAGTGTCGCTGTATTACTTTATGTGAATTAATAGTTTTTCGCAGCGCGTAGATGACAGCTGGTGAACTGTTATGTTCTAAGAGATGTTTCGTCAGTATCAAGAAAAGAAGAAGACCTAGGATATCTCATTGAGATACGCTGGATATCGCCTTCTCCCACTTTGACATGGCCTTTATGGCTTTATGGATAAGGCTTCTACCTTCTATTCAGAAAATTTCTGATTTCACTCTTCTCGTGGGTCGGACCTTCTGATCTAAATATGGAAGCCATTCAAGCTGAAGTTTCTTGCACTCCATCAGGAGCCTTTGAACTATTTGACTTTTTGACCTTTGCACAAGATCGCCGGCGCTTCGTATAGTCTGGCTAATGAGTGGAATATGCCGGCCAATCGTACATTGAATACTTTTATAGTGAGGATAGTGTGTGGCTCAACGCTGTATGCTTCGGCTTCTCAAGTAATTTCTTGTTCAAGTGACTATGTTAAAGAGTCCTAGAAGAGGAATCAACACAGTTCGAAGAGTTACTCTAACGCTCATGTAAAATACTAGAGAGTTAAAATACAATGGTCTTTTATACCAGAAGTATTTCATCGTGGGGCAAATGCTAACAATCTAGAAAGAGATAAAAAAAAGAAAATATGGCGAGGACAGAAACATCGATAATGAGAGGGCAGTTTTTTCATACTGTATATCCTATTTATGAAAAGAACACAAGGGCGAAGTTGTATGATAAACACACGAGCTGTTTAATATCTCTCTGTTCTAGAGACACTGAAAGTATGTTCCAGAAATGTTACCCACCACAAGACAAATTTGAGGTTTGTAACATCATCAGTTGATTAGTGTGGTCTCGCAATGTATTTCGTAGCAAAATTTATGAATCTAAATGTCACTTGGAAACTGGGTTATTATCTAATAGATTGGTGGTTACGTTGTACCAACTATAACGTTAACACGAATAATCGATCCAAAGGTAGGAAGAAGTTTTAGCGGTTAATAAATCCTCAAAACTGATAGCTTCACAACCCTTTGACATTTATATTAACCCTATTAATTTCGCTGTACATACCTTATCTGAAGGCGCTCAGTCATGCATATTTACCAGGTCACCTTTTGGAGTACCCTGCTACGCAAACTTCACAACAACCAGCCAGATGAGATCAAACACTTCTCGGCATATCAAACACGTTGCTGACTTGTTTTGCGAGCCTTCTATTATGATGGTGCGAGGTGCAAAAGCTTGGTCAGACGCTTAGCATTCGTGATATTCTTTGCGTAATCGGTGAATCGCGGGCGAACGCAGTTTGTTTTGTTCCAGTTCCATGGACTGACAGTTTGAGTATGTGCCGATGCGAAAAATTTTACCATTGAAACTCGCAATTATGTGAAATGTTCCCTGGCTCCAAGTTGGCTCATAACGAGTAAAAATAATACGTTCAGTCGAATTCACGAATCCAAGTAGCTCTTGTCTTCTGTACACAACTACACAGCAGAAAAGTTTCATTTTAAAAATTGGTAAATTACGACAAATAATCCCTAACACTGGCAGGTAATAATGATAAGGATAATTGCGTATGTAGTTAACAGTACTGTAAATTTTCACTTGTATATATCCATACAACACCTAACCCTAATAAGGTGACATATGATTAGAAAGAGATATAAAACTGGGCTTTCGTCAGCATGGAAGTGTGGTCCTGGTTTTGTGGTACGACAACATAGTCATGATGTAGTTAAAAAATTAGGCAAAACATGGCTTACAGTAAGAGACAAATTATTACCACAGTATAGAAAATACTAGTCATATAACATTTTTCAAAGCTAGTTGTCAGGTTCATTAATTTGACTGTAAGTTCCTTGTAATTTTGAGGGATCGTTTGAAGGGCAAAAGGTTTTGTAGCACATAAGATCGTGTGTAGTACGAAATCATAGTAAGCGTACAGATCAAGTCAAGGGTGAACTTCCCAGTCCACCTCCTGTAGCTTGACCTGCAAAGCCGACCAATCCAACGCCTGTTTTTAGTAGGATATATGGGCCGTTTTGCCGATAAAACTGAAGGCTATGATGGAATGATCAATTTTACTCAGGGGGACCAGGACCCAGAATTTGTTAATTAGGAATCCTTCGCTTGTAAATATACATTCTGTGAGCGAAAGGGTCTGACAGTTACTTCAGCGAGTTGCTAACTTCGTATTTTCGAATAATCCCAGATCTTTAGTGAGGTTGGAGAACCGAGCTTCAGTATAGTTGTCACCTTCAATGGAATTGTGGTCAGCGAAGTTAACATTAGGAAGGTTGAATTCTCTTATAATCAGGGTATGAGTGTACATGGCATGAGTAGCGTGTAACAATCCCTCTAGCATATGGTTCGCTTACTCGGTGTCAGCAGTCTCTTTCTTGTAGATCACTCCAACTAGATCACAGTGTACAGATAGACAACCTTACTTCAACGGAAGTGGAAGGTTGTCGTCATATGCTTTGACTTCTCGACGGCTTTTGATAAAGTCAATCATATGTAACTCATCAATAAGCTCAAACAAATAGGTATCGATCCACCATTAGTTGACTGGCTTACTTCATGTCTAAACTATCGACTTTTTGAAGCAGGGTAAACTTTAATTTTTTTTAGGCTAGAGAATGTTCTACTGGGTTTCTATAGTGTTCCGTCATAATACCTCTTTTCTTTTTAGTTTATATAAACAACATTCTTCAGCGGTGATCGTCTGACTTTTTACTTTTGGCTGATAATGATAAACTTTGAAGAGAAGTATGCGACCAAGATAACAAGCTGGCACTTTTAGGGGGATGTGATGGAATTCGGACTTGGGCGGATAACAACAGATGTACTTACAACAGTTCAATATGTAAAGTATTCCAACTGAGACATGTTGCAGACTACGAATGCAAGTTATTAACTCTATGTAAAGGTGTTCAAAATATATAAAGGGATCTAAGAGTCTTGGCACCAAATGATCTAATGTTTTACGAGCTAACCATGTTAAAACCCTATTTTTGGCCAGTTTGATAGAAGAAATTTCCATCTAGTTTTCGACAGTTTAACTCGATCACATCTAGAGAATGAAATTTTGTGGTTATTCCCTCACTTCATAAGGATAAGAATACACTGCAGCATATTCGAATGCTATCCAGGAACCCAGATCAGGGACTCAAATCCATACCACATGAAAGGCACCTCCAGTAATTGGAACTTTATTCACCAAGATATAGGAGTCTCAGATGTGACCTTTTAATTATTTATAGCAGCCAGAACACTTCTGCTTTATCCCTCTAAATACCAAACTGTCTCAGTGCCAACACAAAACCTAAGGGTAACACCTAAACACTGAAAATACATAATTGCAGAACAAACTGTAGGCACACCTTCTACTCTTCAAGAACAGTCAATCGCTGAAATTGGCTGCCCGCTGAGCTTGTGCAAGAAACCAATTGGAAGTCCTTTGAGAGAAAACTACATATACTTATGCGCTAAGTACAGTTACTCGCTATAATTTACCATTATTTTTTCTCTTTTATTGTCAAATATACTTGGGTTCCCACTTGGCGACATCAGTGATCCATTGTTACCAGATACGGAAGTCTCTTAAGAGAAAGCTTCTTCTATTCCGTCCAGAACCCTTTGAACCATTTAATGTGACCGAAGGTAATTGCCCCGCGTAGAATAACGTGGTTCAGTACGTCAGCTCATTTTGTAGTACACAGTTTGAAGACCTTTTAGTTAACTGGTAAGGAGATTTCGCATTGTTTTTACACATGCTTATGTAGCTTAAACTACCACCCAACTCAACCACTTGATTTACGGGAAAATTTTGTTAATCATAAGGATCCCCATAGGAAATGCTGTGTTATATCAAGTGATTGTCACCTGGTGTTGAATGATTGAAATACAAATATCCTAATGAAGTAACCGATTAAGGAGCAGATTATGAAATGCAAGGTTTTACTGAGCTGAAAACGTGACCGGATGACAACGAAGAGACCTGAAAATTAAAGGTTTTTAGGTAGTAGGGTCTTGCTGATCAGTGCTACCGTTAGAAAAGTTAACCCATGTTTACTTAATTTTCTTATGGATACCGAGGGCCGTCGAGAAAATTCGTAGACAAAGATTTATGTGTTTACATCTTTATACTCATAAACCTTGGTACAAATCGTCAGCAAATGGTATATGTGCCACAACAAAAACGAGATTGTGAAAAGATAAAGTACAAAACAATAGAAATTAGTGCAGCAAAGTAACTATTATTTATTTACTGGTTGCTATCATTGCTATTTTCACGACTGTTCGGATAGCATGTCAAACTGACTCGGTGTGAATATCACCTTCATTGTTGACTAACTACATTTCTGGTCGATTCTGAAATATTTTCCACATTCTTTCTTACTATTAAGTTGAATTGTGACGAGTCTTCCTACTGTGTATTTTCTGTTTCCTGTAAGACATGGATAAATACGACACAAAATGGGTGTAATAAGATTATTAGGTTATTAGAAGATTTGAATACTCTGGGTAAACAAACAGGCGTTTATCAGGAGTAATCTCTTCAGTAAGATTATATTGATACAAATAACTCTTTTCGGTAATCTACATAGTATTACATAGTAAATTAATTACAGTTACCCAAGGTTATTGATTATAAGGGTTTATGAGTTATGACTTAATAACTTAGGGTAATAGCAAGCTTGCTACTTCAAAAGATTGAGTTTTATTTGCTATCTGGATAAAATGTTCCGAATATTATACCTGGCTTGTATGGGACCATATTTGGAATATAGGGTTCCTTTTTTCAATGTGAAGTGCATGTATTAGACCGAGCTCAAAATGGTGAAAGTTCTTTTTAGATTGTCTTATGAATATAGATTGAGACTCGTCATCCTATGTCCATCTTACCGTAGGTTAAGGTGCAATCTAATACTAGCTTATTGCATAATTAACGATGATAATGGTACTATCTTTTTCTTTCGTCTAGGAAGTCATTTAAGAGAACATTCTCAAGAATTTCAAATATCAAGGCCTAATTGTCCTCCCCTAAAGTTTCGTCTTTTGCATCTATTCGTGAATGACTGCAATTCTGTATCAGAACACGTAATATCACTACCTGTTAATACATTGAAAGTGAGTTTGAATCTTCACAGTACCACATCGTGAGGACTAACATAGGTCAATTGACCTACCATTACCCTTCAAGTCTGTCAGATGGATTGGCTTGGGGGATTATCATCCATAAAAGGTCAGTTAACAAACATCACCAAAGATCTTTTGGCCGAAGGGACACGTGAAATTAATGGTTTGTTTTATATTAAACCAATGTCTATCAGCAGATCCTGAAAGTGAATTATCGATTGCACGCACACGTATATGTGAACTTGAATCAGTTGTTGAGACTCAGAAGACAGAAGTTAGCAAACATTACCTTTCTGTGTATTGTTAGATTAACTCTCTTAGGTGTAGGAACGAGGAGCTTGTGGTGCAGCTAGAGTCATTACAGCTGAGGCTCGATCACACAAAGGAACTGTTTATTCAACAATTGCGTGAAAAGGATGTATGTGTTCCTCTGTTTGTTTTGGTTTTCTTTGTATGTTTCTATGCTATTCCAATCAAATCTTATGACTACGGAATTTTAATAACACGTCTGCTGCTGGGCAATGTAATCAGTACAGTTGCACTAATTAAATATTGATATATATATAGTTAAAGATTTGTTAATATTTAACGTATTCAAAGAATAAAAATTCATAAACAGATAACTTCGTCCAAAAAACTCGCATGATTTCTAAGTTATATCTCTGTGCTTCTTCCATACCCTAAAATTCCGTGTAGTTTTTACGGATTTTGGTACAGTATTCACCACATACATTGGTTGTGAATATGTATATCTTTTATTGTATTTAAAGAGTTTGACAGTTCTTGTCAAAATATTGGTTTTTACTGTTCTATTATTATCATTAAAAAGTAAAGAGATCTGTAGTGGAAGACGGCTTTTTTAAGGGATTTAAGAATCTAGTTTATAATTATACACCTTTCTGTCGTCTCAGGATTGCCTATATAATAATCTGTCATCAAGTTTTCCCATATTCACCAAAAACTGTATGTTAATTCTTAGATTTCAATCTCCAAGTTGCAAGCTGAAGTGTCTAATGAACGTGGGGAACCTGAAGGACAACCGGAAGCTTCACTTGGGACTACGAGCTGTCTTATTGACAATAATGCAATCAAATCTGGTCTAACACAGTATCCTGGTGAGTAACTCATGTGTTTGTTCCAGTGTTTGTTACTCCTTGTAGGCATTGTGACTTAGTTTACTGAGGCTTTTACATACATGATTTAGAAAAAACATGCAAAGAAATTTCAAAAAATCGTATACCTCACACTCAAAATGGTTAAATTATGCGGAAATTCTTATTCTATTTGTGTTAATAATCGAATATCTGTTTACTGTACATGTAATCAAGATCGTTGAATCATCAAATCTTCTACCATTAATTTCCTTTAAACTGCGCCTATATAGTAATTAGTATCTCAACCAATATCGTGGTTACTCCCTTGAAAAATCTTATTTGCCTCATTAACAGTCCACAGTGTACCCTTTTGAATCCTGGTTGTTGAACTGATAGTTGCCAGAGTGAACACTAGGTCTGTTCTATCTTCTTAAAAAGTGTTTCTTATTATTAGAATTCTCTGTATTGTGGTTTTCAGCCATATGAAGTGTTGGTATTGACAAATCATTGACCAAGTAGAGCTTCATGTACTACACTTTGAGAATCATTTTTGCTGAGAAATAGATGTTTTCAATTTAATCGTACAATAAAACTTAAAAAGTCCTCTATTACTGCTGCCTTTAAATGTAAACTACGATTTTTGTTTTACAATTATTAGAGGGTTTTGCAAGAGCCGTCCGTAACATATTTGTTTCAGGTAACTGGATAGATTTTCAAATAACTTGGTTCATTATTTGCTCTGAGGCAATCGACATTTTTCTCCATTTTTTTAGATCTTGCAAGTGAAGATCATCAAGTTCCATCAACTGTATCACATTCAGATGGCACAGTCACTTGGGAAGAATTAAAAAATGAGGTTGTCCAACTTCGTGCAGAATTAACTAAATGGAAGAAAATTGCCAGAAAAGTGAGGCTTAAAATTTCTCTTTCACTTTTACCTTCCGATGTTTCCACAATGCAACTGGAAAACAAGTTACCTACTTGCTTAAGCCTGTCGCCCCTCTTGGGTCGTAGAGCGTCGATCGAGTTATAATTTTTTCTTGCAATTCGAGTATTCGAAGTTAGAACTGGACTTGTAGCACAGTTTAATGGCTTGTGGGTTTTTATTATCGAGATCCTTGTTATCCTCCTAGTTTCCTCCTCGGCTAATAACTGTTTTGTCCTCTGGCACAGTACGTCATTGTTGATAGTCTTTTGCTAATGGATCTGGAGTATCTGACTTTCGTCTCAAGTGACTGTTTGAGTTCTAAATATTTTTAATTATAGTACTACTCTCCTTGCTTTGTAATTTCGCGCCCTCACATCCGAGCCATATCCTCCTTTTCACCTCTCCTAGAGTTTCTCCATCAAGTATGATTTGTCTGGTGCTCACTATGCTGTACTTCATGGTCTTGTTTTCTCCCTTGTGAACTCCGAGGTGTACATTTGTGGAAGCCGTTGCCACACTAACTGTCTTCATCTACATTTGTTGCCGTATATACGAGAGCAGGACTAAGTCATCTGCCAAGTCCAAACCGTCCAGCTGAGTCCAATGTGTCCATTCTGTGCTCCTCCTGAGATGTGGAGGTTTTCTTAATTCATCCAAGAACTAGCAGAATGAGGAAAGGTGGGAGTAGACAGTCTTGTCTAACATTAGTCTCCCCTTGGGATGTATCTGTGAGCTGCCGGTGATGTATGACTTTGCAGTTGATCCCCTCATATGAGTTCCGTATGATAGTGATGATCTTTTCAGGTACTGCATAGTATTATGCTATCCATACTATAGAATGTTTTTATCATAATCAAGGGAATTGAAATGTGATGAGTCCCATCCACTTACTAAGATCTTTTCTCGGCATCTTGTTGAATCATCCATCTTTCTTTTCTGTTGGTACTTGTCCTTCTTCCGGAATTATTTTAAAGAGCACTCATGTTATTTTCGCAGCTTCCTGTCTACTTGAATTTAGTGCTTCGGCTAGTGTACTATTTGGTTTTGTTGCTTTGCCATTCTTCCTTAATCTGATGGCCTTGCTTATTCCTTGTATGGTTGGTGGGGGACCATATGTATGGAGGTCTGTTTATTCTACTCCAATGTTTTGGGGGCTCAGCGTGGCTGGTCTCTCCAAGAGCCCTTCAGAACACTCTAACTACCTATCCCTCTACTCTTGAACCTCAGTGATTGGTTTACTTTCTTTGTTCTTAGCTATTCGCTCTAGTCTGCTGTATTTTCATGTGTATGAGACATTTTCTTCATGACTATATTTCAATATCACCTCTCTCGAAGCTAGTCTTGTTTTATCCGAATTGTCTCCACTGAGTTTCGCTTATTGTAAACCCGGTTTGATTGTATCTTTTCATTTCTGTGGGTATTTGATTGGCTATCTCCCTGCCTCCCGGATTGTTTAAACATTTCACGTTACCATGTCTATTGTCATCCTGTTTGTTATAAGGGGCTTTGGTCTAGTAACTTCCAGAGATCCCCGACTTTCATCATGAGGCGTTATAACTCTTCTACATGAGAATCACCCGACGTCTAGGGGAGATTTTAAATACTTTGAATGCATTTTTGGCTAGCATTTCTTAGTGTTCTTTTTGATGGGGTGGGGTAGCTAACCCTACGTTCATCTCTGGTCTCGGGACCAGTCCTAACCTTAGAGGGACTTCATGTGGAGTCGGGTTACGATCTACAAACTGACAAAATAGACAGATGGCATGGTGTGAACAGAATTGAACCTACGCCTTATCAACATAAAAAACAAAGAAAAAAAAAGTGTAGTACGAAAAAAGGTAATATCGAAATGAACGAATGTAAATAGGTATCATTACCAAGGTTTGACTTGATGATTTCGAATAAATTGAACATTGGGTACATTGTTATGAATAAATTGATATATTTATACTATTCCAATATTTAGAAATTAACTTGGATTTATTTCGATTTGGTTATTTATTCTCTGAAGGAGTGGCTTACACTAAGTCACGAAACGTCAGAAAATCTCATTTTCCTACAAATATATTATTTTATTTAGAATGGACGTAAAGGAAAATCGAAGGATATGGAATAATACCACAATTTCAAGATTTAAATTTTTTAAATAAGTACAGCTGCACAACCGCGAATAATTTTAAACCATATATATCACCCACAGTCTCTCACCTTGGGTTATGGTTGTTTTACCAAATGCAACGAGGAATTCTTTATCTCTGTACACGTCTCAAACAAGAATAAGTGACTTTGTGGACTGATTCCATGTGTTGATTTGACCATCTTTTATGTTATTTATTTAACACCTTAACATTAGTACAAGGAGGAACCAAATAGATATGCGCCACATAACATATTATTATATTCCACAATCTAACTGACATCTAATGTAATCGAACTTAATTATAGGGTGATTCTCAAGAGATAGTAAATTCTTGCGTTCATCTCATCACTCTAGTTAAAAATTTTCCACAGTGAACAATTTTACCACTAACCACATGGTTCCTAATATATTTCCATGGATCACGTTACACGTCATTTGTTCCAGGCCTTATAAAACGCAGCATACACAGTTCCCGGTGTTTGACAGTACTAGTCTCTATGTTGTGTTTTTCCCCCACTAATTTACATCTGAAGAATAGTTTCATCAGTTCAATTTTAAAATTGTTTTTTTTCCTTTTAACGTCTCGTTTTTCTAGAAAGAAAAATCTTCGGATAACACTTCATCACATCAGTTGTTGAACATCGAGTTGGAAAATCAAGTTGAAGTAAGTAGAATTTTTTATTTTTATATGGCTTATAACTTCAGATTTGTTAAATATTGTTAAAAATAGTATTCCATAAAATGTATAGAAACGATTTTTATTTACAGTTATTTAACTATACCTCTTGACAATTTTTGATCCACACGTTTATGATTTAAATTTTTATTTAAAAAAAACCCAACAAAATGTGATAAAATTATCCCTCTCCGGTCAAGCTGCTGA